GACCCCACGGCTGCTGTTTTTTGGGGCTTCTGCCAGGGCTTCTGGAACCCCTTCCAGGTTCCGGGGAAGTGGTTCTGCCACTGACTTCTCCCTCACCATCCATGGGGTGGAAGCTGAGGACTTCGGTGTGTTTTACTGCCAGCAGCACTTCAGCCGGCCTCTCACAATGACAGGTCCCCAAACAAATATCCTCTTTATGGGCCGGAGACCTTGCCTTGTTGCAAAGGCACCTGTTTCCTGCTGAAGCCACAGTTTGAGAGGAGTAAAAGGTCTACAGGGTCTGTGTCTAAGTTCTTACTGTCTGTGTTTTCTGAGCTGGTGAAGCAGGGGAAGGTTGAAGAGTTGTTACTTCACATTAAACCACATCTACAGAGAGGAGAATTGGGCAAGGGGATTGGAGGCAAGTTGTGGTTTAAACAGATGCTGAACATGGGTTAGTTTATTGCTTTTTCTTTTGTATATGGAAGCATAACAGAGCACCTCTATAACTTAAGAAATTGATACTATGATGTATTATTGTTAGTGAATCTGGGGTTTGCTGGAAGGTTTCTCTGCTCCTTTGCCTGGGTCACTTATGCAGCTGCAGTCATCTGAGTCAGTGGGCTGGGTGGTTACTGTTGGTCTCACTCATCTGCCTGGTGTTGGGGCTGGTTGTCGGCTGAGAGCCTCAGTTTTCTTCTTAGTGACATGCCTGAAGGAGGGGAGATGGGAGTAGTCCATCTCAGATTCAGGCACTTAAAAGAAAATTGTAAAAAAGTTGAAATGAATAATATAAGTTACTTTTGTTATCAACATGCACTGGCAGTTCTGAAAAATACTAGAAATAAAATAATTCTTCTCATGGAAATGACTATGCTCACTGCTCACCCCCAACCATTTCTCATGTCCCTGAACAGCCTTTACTCATGTCTGTAGTTGGTGCTGGCTAATGGCTGGTGCCTGAGTCTCCTCTATGTGACCTCTCATCTTCCCATGGGCTAGATCGGTTTTTTACCTTCCAAGGGTAGAGCTGGAAGGCCTCTGTGCTCTTGATCACAGTGTTGCTTTCTCCTCACTCTACTGCTCAAAGCAAGTCCAGAGACCACTCTAGATTCAATACAAAGAGAAATGAACTATCCTTTGTATTGGGGGATCATGTGGCAATGTTTTTCTAATCTATCATAAATGTCTTGATGTATACACTTAACAAGAGTGGTGCAGTATAAATGAATGGTTGCTATGTTCTGTGAATTGAGTCTTGACATAAGAAGTATACTTTATTCTCATCTTCCAGTTGATGTCACTAAAGAAGAGAGAGGTCAAGAAACGTTGTCAAAGTTCACCCAGATCATAAACCAGAATTCTAATCAGAAAATCTGCCTCACGGAAGCAGGGAGGGGTCTGACACGCAGAGGGATCCTGCAGAACTGGCTGATGGGACAATCTGCAAGAGGCCCTGCTGGACAGCAGCCATCTAGCTCCTCACAACACTTCCTGAGTACAGAACTTTGTCTCTTAACACCTATCGGTAGTTTCATTAATTGTTCTGAAGGTAATTTGTGTGATTAAGTTTGTGGCACTTCTAATAGCTAAGAATAAGATGAAAAAAGCTCCAGAAATGGAGCTTCCCAGATCCCATGGGAAAGATGATATGTCATATTATTGCAAGATGATGCAAAGAAATAAGACAATAACATGAAGGAAAACAGAGAAAACATTAGACTGAGGCCTTGGAATAAGAGCTGGAGACTTTCAGTTACTCACAAGAAGCCTAAATGGAAATGAGATGTCTCCTGCCTGAGCACCAGAAGGCAGAGGGAAAATTCTCAGTTAATAATGAACGATCAAGAGTGTTAGAGGCACTGGACACCTCATAACAAGCAAAAATGGAGCTTCCCAGATCCCAAATGTTTCCTCAATCTAACCCCCCACACTCCACCCCTGCCCCACCCTAGTGCAGCCCCCATTATCTTCCACCTAGACCACAGCCAAACTCTCCTTAGAGATCACCCACTTTGTCCCTTCACTTCCCTGCTGTCTATTCTCAAGCCAGCTGCCAGAGTAATCTTTGAAAAAGATGAATCATGGTTCTCCTAGGCTCAGAATCTTGCGCTAGATTCCACACCCCATCATATAGAGAAAAGGTCCAGGTCCTCTCAATGCCTACCAGTCCCCACCTGCCCTGGACCCTCCCTGTTACTTCTCTGAGAACTTCCACAGCTCTATCCTCTGACACATGGGACTCCAGCCTCCTGGTCTCTTGGCTCTGCCCTGAACAAGCCTGCACAGTCCTGCCCTTGAGCTCTGTTCTCTCTGGTCCCTTAGAGATTATGTTTTTCCTCAAGCCCCTACTGAGCTCTCTCCCTCACCTCCAAAGTCAACCCAGAGCATCTCTTCTTAATGATTCCTTTAAATGTGTCCACACCACACCCTGCTGCTCACTATTGCAGGAAGCACTTTTCATTACTGACATTACATAATTTATTTCTTTGTGATTTTGGACTTTATAGCATGACGCTCTGTAATAAAATTTAAGCTTCAGAGGGTCAAGGGTGTTTGCCTATTTTGTGCATGTATTTCAATGAAATGTAAGTTCCTGCACGCAGTAGGTGCTCAGAGTGGGAACTTCTTCCCTAGAATTTTGCATATCTAGAAGTGAGAGAGAATTGTAAGGAGCGGATTAAACTGTTTGTTAAGCTGACAGTGTTGTCTTTGTTTTCTGTGTTCCTTTCTCATTCTCAGTCTTCAGGAAATAAAAAAGAAATCATAATTCTAAGTCCTTGATTTATGTACTTACGTTATAATTTAGGCCATATTTTCCAAAAGATTAAAACAATGATACAACATTATTACATTATAGTTTATCATATTACATATATAATATGGTAAGTAATAATATAAACTATACTATCCCTGACTACTGTAAATATATTGACTCTCTAGTTAAAAGACAAGATTTATTAGATCATGTCAGGAGTCAGTAGATATTTAAATATTGAGAGTCACAAAGAAAAATTGAGTATACCATATAGCTATTTATATAAAAACAGAAAAAGCGAATTTCAACAAATTTTATTAATGAATTCAAGTAGAATGCAACCCAAAGTGTTTCTCAGCCTGTCCAGGGGAACATCACTCCCAACACATCTGCATGATTCTGAGGAACACGTGGGAACTCCAGATGGGACTTTTATTCTGATAAGGAGTGTGAACAGAGAGCTTTCCAGAACTGTTAAAGGGGGAAGGTCCTGAGTCTGGGTGGAGGGATGCCCTGTGCAGACTGAGGTGGGATGGAGGATGGAGGGTCACCAGGGATTGCTCCTTGCCTGGTGGGCAGCACCGTCATCTGTCTGCAGGGAAGCGGTACCACCCACACTAAGGGGTCTGAGCCTGGGTTCCGCTCACCCGTGAAGGTGTGGTCGTCTTTGCATCCACAGTGCTGGGCATAACTGAGCATTGCCCTTTACTGGTTCTTGTAAAGAATGAGGTGGCATCAGGGCTCACAGAAACAGTGACTAACCTGCAAAGGGAAGTTGTGTCCGATCAATGACTCTTTCCAACCAGCTACAATCAATCACAAGGGAGATATCCAGCCACTTTGGGGAAAGAAAGACAGAAAAGAGATCATGGGCATTTATTTTATTTCTAACAGTCTTGGGTCAAATGCCATCTGCCTGAGTTCATGAGATTGGTGAGGCAAGAGGACATGTGGGTTAAATCCTTCCCCCCTGGCTGAGCCAATGGCCTTTTCTGGCCTGATTATGTATGTGGGCCTGGGCTGCTCAGTGCAGAGCAGAGGAGGAAGGTGGTCTCTGCAGCTGGAAGCCCTACATGACCACCCCAGATGCTCTCCATGTCCCTGCAGCCACCCTGCTATCCAAGTATAGATCAGTGCCTGAGTCAACGCTCTGGGGCAGGGCTGCTCAGGTAGGGCCTGGAGGTACCCTGGCTTGGGCCAGCTTTTCTGCCTTTTCTCACACTTACTCTGTGTGTCAGTGAAAACTCTCTCAAGGTTGTTTGTTCCTGGGACCTGACCACTCTTCTTGGCAAGCACTGGAAGCTCAGTGTAGATCTACTGTCCTGGTCTTATTGGAATAACAGTGGGTATAATTTAGATTACATTGGCAAATTGTTCATTTCCAATTCCAGACACCACTGCAGAAGCTGTCTCCAGTCTCCCTGTCTTTGTCTCCTCATGAAAGAGCCACCCTCATTTGTGGGGCCACAGCATTGGCACCTCCGCACCTTGGTACCAGCAGAAACCTGGGCAGACCCCCAGGACCCTCATCTATGGAACATCCATCAGGGCCCTGCACATCCCAGCACGTCAGGTGGAAATGGGTTGTGGGTCTGGGACAGACTTCTTTACCCCCACCATCCTCAGTAGCCTGAAGTCTAAAGATCTTGCACTTCATGTTATCAGTGTGGTGGATGTGCCCCACAGTGAGTCAACGTGAAGCAAAACCCTCCAGGAACCACAGCTGGTTTTTTTTTTTTTTCCCTGAAATCATCTGCTTCCTTTCTGGGCACCTCCTGTGGTAGCAGCTCAGTTTTAGCATGTTTGCCTTTTGCCTGCACTTTCCTCTACTTTCCTTCGGTGTGGTGCTGTGCCATCGCCCACCTTCCTTTCCTCTGTCTCCTTCCCTTCCTCCCTTGTTCCCTCCTTTCCTTTCTCTTCCCTCCATCATAAATAAACTTTTTACTTCTATCTATTCTAACATTTATGTGAGAATGCTCTCTCCCCTATGCCATGAGCACTTAGTGAGCTCCCAAACCCAAAATTATGTTTTGTAACACCCAGGGAGAAGCCTGTTCTTTGCAGATGAATCTGCTACCCTGGTCTGTCGTCAGATATCTGGGGACACTGGGTCTGTGCTGAGTTACTGAGATGAGCCAGCCCTACAGCTGTGCCCAACTTGCCCACCCTCTGCTGATTTGCATGTTCCCAGGCCACAACCCTTGCCCTGAAGACTTATTAGCATGCTAGTCACACTCTGTGCAGGAGTCCGTCCCCATCAGGACACAGCATGGACACGAGGGCCCCCACTCAGCTCCTGGGCTTCCTGCTGCTCTGGTTCCCAGGTAAGGAGAGAGAACACCAGGGATTTACTCAGCCTGTGTGGTCAGTCCTGCTTGAGTCCTCAGAGGTGTCCTCTTATGATTAATTTTATGAATGTTTGTGTCTATGTTTCCCATCTCAGGTGCCAGCTGTGCCATCCAACTGACCCAGTCTCCATCCTCCCTGTCTGCATCACTAGGAGACACAGTCACCATCACTTGCCAGGCCAGTCAGGGCGTTAGCAATTATTTACACTGGTATCAGCAGAAACCTGGGAATTCGCCTAAGCTCCTGATCTATTCTACATCCAATTTGTACCCTGGGGTCCCATCAAGGTTCAGAGGCAGTGGGTCAGGGACAGATTATTCTCTGACCATCAGTGGCCTGCAGGCTGAAGATGTTGCAGATTATTACTGTCAACATGGTTATGGTACCCCCACACAGTGTTACAAGCCTGAACATAAACCTCCCAGGGAAGCAGGTGTGTGAGGCTGGGCTGCCCCAGCTGCTCCTCCTGAAAGGATTTCTGAAAAGCAGCCCTGCTCTGAAGGTCTCTGCATAGTTTTGGTAGAAGGGACCTGAGAGGCTCCAAGGTGCCCTATGTCTCTCTCCTTCTCCTTGTCCTAGCAGCACAGACTGCCAGTGCCTCTCCTGATCTCACTAGGGAAAAAGGTGATTATACCTTTTACAATATAATCTCTCTTTTATGGTATAATTTAGTCTCTGTATGGCATCAGTGGAAGTTATACTGTACAGGAGAAGCCACTCTAGATATTCCATCTAGGATACTATTATGTACAAGGCATAGGAGTCTAAACTCTGGTGTTTAAATGAGTGGCCTGGGGATATAGTAGTCAAAGATGGGAATACTAGAAAGTGGGGATACCCTGGTCTTCCCCAGAAGCCAGAGGACATCTTCCCTGGAACTCATAGGCTGTGTCACCATATGCTCCTTGGACTTGTCTGGGAAGCCTGGGGCAGGGGTGCTGATGCTCTCAGCTGCCTGTAGCACCTGGCCAGGTGAGTCAGCAGTTCCCATGTGTGTTCTTGTGTCTGGCTGCAGGTGCTGGTGGATAGTATAGAATTCTCCTCTTCCAAGTTCCAAATCTCAAGAAGGGTCCCCTCATTAAGCAACTCTACAGGAAGCCAGAGAAAGAAAATAATCTCTACCTAAGGTGCTTCCAGAATGATGATGATGATGGGGAACTGTCAGCTGATGTCACATGGTCAGTATTTTTTGGCTTTCAGAATTTTGTGAGTTAGTTTATGGAGGTCTGAGATCTTAGCAAGATGCATTTATGGGGTTCAGGGTACTGCTTCGATATACAATGTGAAATGTTTACATTGAACCAAGTAACACATCCATCATGATTATACTCATTTATTAATAATTTTGAAATGTACCATTGTATTGTGCACATTAGGTGAGGTCCCCCCAGATACCCTCCCTTATCCCATATCCTCCCTCCCCACCCTTCTCTCTCCTCTTCCCATCTACTTTATGGACTATACTTAAAGCTGAGGACCGCATTATCTCTCTCTCTCTATCTCTATATAGCAGTCATTTGATAAAAAAATAACTTTCTTGACTATAAATACATATAATACGGTGGGCCTAACTTGGCCCCACACAACACCCCCCCTCCCTGCCACATCCTCTCCTGAAACAAAGACCACAAAGGGCCTAGCTAGCCCTGCCCCTAAAACTCCTGCCATAAGACCCCTAGCCCAATAGAATTTCCAGGCCAGCAGTGGAACTTTTCTACTCCTACAGCCAAATAAAAAGCTGTCTCAAACTGTGCTCTGCACAGATGCCATCTTTAGCTCTGCCCACGTGGGTTTCTTTCACTTTCCTTAGACCTGGCCTGAGTTTCTCCATTCTCCAATCTTGTTTCTGGCTATCCACCATAGGCCTTTCAACACACACACACATACACACGCATGGTTAGGACATATCTCAGGGTGATTTTGATTTACATTTCTCTCATAATTAGCAATGATGAACATTTTTTCATGTATTTGTCGGCCATTCATCTATCACTTTCAGAGAAGTTTCTGTTCAAGACTCTTGCCCAAATGGGGTTGTTTGCTCTTTTCTTATTGATTGATTTGAGTTCTCTGTAGATTCTAGTTATCAACCCTTTGTCAGATTCATGACGTGTAAACATCTCCTTTCTGAAGGCTGTTTGCTTTAGTTGTTGCACCCCATGGAAGAAGCATGGAGAATTCACAAAGAACTAAAAATTGACCTTCCATTTTCATTACTAGGTCTCTACCCAGAAGAAAAAAAATCTTTTTACCATAAGAACATTTACAGTGGAATGTTTATGGTGGCTCAATTCACGATTGCTAAGAGGTGGTAGCACCCAAGTGCCTATCAACTTGAGAATGGATTAACAAACTGTGGTATGTGTATACCATGGAGTACTATTCAGTCATAAGAAAAGATAGAGATTTTATGTCTTTGTGTTTATTTGGATGGAGTTGAAACGCATTCTTCTTAGTAAAATATCACAAGAATGGACAAACAAGTATCCAATTAGTATCCATACTAATATGAAACCAATATGTAAACAACTACATGCTCACACAAAAGGAAAACTCAAGTATAATCCAGTGAGGGAGAGGGGTGGGGAGAAAAAGGGGAAAGGGGAAGTGGGTGGGTGATTGGCAGCTTCTCACCTAATGTGCACAATGTGAGGGTTTTCAGCACCACCTTGGGTTAGAGGCTCACATACAACTTGCACTTTACCTTAGAAATGAAAACAATGCAACTTAAACATTTGCACCCTTATATTAATCTGAAGTGAAAAAAATGCATCAGGTTACAGTGTTTAATGTCCATGCATTATTTGGAATGGGACAAGATATTAAGTTATATAAGATGTGATAAGCCAAGGGTGAAGGTTGTAGTTCCCTGGGGTGCTCAAGTCATAAGAAAATAATATAGAAGCAGCAATTAGGAATAAATGTTCTAATACTGCAACCCTATATCAAATTAATAACCTGCGGACTTCTATGCAGAAGATTATAGAAAAATAAATAAAACTGCATGAAAAAATATTAAATGAAATCAGAAGAGAATTGAAAACTAAGAGGAACTAGTTTTTAATTTATTATACAAAATGGATAATATATCAATATATGAAAGTCTTTATAAAAGTTATGCAAAAGGGAAAATGGGGAAAAAGACCCATAATATGAAAAGAAAAAAAGACACAAACACCTGTGAAAATAAGCACAAAAAAATTTCAACTTTGCTAATAATTAGAGAAATGACAATGAAAACTACTTAGAGGTAGCACCCCCACCTGTCAGTTTGGAGAAAATTAAGAGAAAAAGAACTCTGGAGCCCATTTTTAAACAGATTTATGAAGAAATAAGCAGTTTCATTAATAGCTTGTTGGGACAGGAACTAATACTTCCCCTTTGGAGGAGAATATGAGGGTATCTGTAAACCAGCATTAACATTTAACTTTTGACCCATCATCCATTTTGCAGAAATTTTCCTGAAGATATTCCTTCAACAGCAATAGAAAAGTACACATGCAGAAGTTATTCACTGAAGCATTGTTTAGAATCACAATATTGAAAGCATTCAAAATGTCCATCCATAAAATTGTAGTTGGAAAAACTATGGCATCTCCCTATAATAGAGTACCTCTCAGCTGTATAAAAAGGAGGGTGATCTCTATGAACTGAAATGGAGTGATTACCAGGTATATTAATAAATAAAACAGCAATATGCAAACAGAAATCTGTATGTGCTATTATTCATATGAGGAAGCAGGGGGCACCCAACACACAAACAAGCAAAATCTGGAGGGATAGACCAGAGGTCCTTGGGAGAGTCATGAGAGGGAGGAGTTGAGGCAGAGGGAGGGCAGTGGGTGAGAGGGGATTGGACTAGTGTCACATGGGTCACTTCTCTGGGTACAATTGTTCTGCTTGTGAATATTTGAGTCTTTGGAGGCCATATTAGTATTTCAATATTCGATATAAATAAATAACTAGAATCAACAAAGATAAGAAAAATTGGAGGGAATATAAACAAAAGCAAATGAAACCAAATGCACCACAAATAAACAAAATAACCAGGGGAATGGCTAGATAATTAAAGGACAAATGTAAATAACCTTGGGATTTAGTATTGTGTCTATTTTCAATAGGACTAAAGGCAAAATAATTGTGAATGTCGTGCTTGAGTTAGTAGCTCTGATTGCCACAGGGGCACAGGTATGTACAGCTGCACATTTTCCATTCTTCTTCCCAGGGGATGGCTCAATGGGATTTTCCTCCTGAGTTTAGAACATGGGGTCTCTGTGGTTTGACAGGTAGTGAGGCTCCAGGGCTACTTCTGTCCAGTGGAGGATTATGCTCTCTGCTGGCTCCCTGGGCAGTGCTTCTGTATAATACAGCTGGGGGCATCCAGGGTGTTTCCTGGGAATTATACAAGGTTGTAAAATCAATCTCTCTCTCTCTTGCTTTTCCTTCCTTCATTCTTTTTTTTGTCAAGTTATGAACTGAACAGCAGTATAGTGCCTACCTCACATTTGGGGCTCAAGACATATTTATGGAAAAATGTGTAATAATGAAATTCTATTTAAAGTTTCTAAGATAAACTCAGGGATCAGAGAGAATCTCGGTGAGCACTAAGCCAGTCTCTGGAGTGATTTAGGTCAGGGTATGTGGTGATCTGGGACTATGTGTAAACAATAAAATGTGGATGTGGATGAATTTAATTGTGATTTATTATTTCACAAGTCACAAAGTACTGGCTTTGGGCTAAAAGATGGAGGATCACTCATTCTTTTTTTTTTTTTTTTTTTTACATAAAACATGGAAGCTGGACAGAGCTAGACCTGGGAAAGCTCTGGGGAAGAGAGGACAGAGTTGAGTAACCCAGGGAACTACATGAGGGACCCCTTCTAGCCCCCAACTAATACAGGTATCATGGCCTTTTCTAGAACCAGGAAGTAAAGTAGCCAACAAAGACACGGCTGTCACCCTTCATACTCTTCTGTGGGTTTAAATCTCCACAAAAATACAGGACATACTTGGTTTAGAGAAGAAGGAAGAGGATGATCCTACCTCCATAATCATTTTGCAGACACCACCCTCCCTGGTAAGATTACCAAATGGAGTGTTGCTTAAATATGCCCATAAATAAGACTTAAAACCCGGTTTTCTGTGGAGCTTTATTAGCCCTGTCCTCCTAAGACACACAGAGAGCTGAGGGAGGCCGGTGGGACAGACAAGAGAGAAACTGTCCCCAGGTTCTGACTGGGAGGGGGCAGCAAATGCATGATACATGCCCAGACTAACTGAGTCTTTGAGGACCCCAAGTCTGAGGACTCCACAGTCACTGCCTTGCTATTAGGGTGCTGTGCAGCTAAGTATGGTGTGGCCTCCTCAGCACTTGGATACTGCACATGGAGGGGAAATCCCAAGGCATAGACTATTGGCATCTAACTGAAAACTACACATCA